AAAAAAAAAAAAAAAAAAAAAAAAAAAAAAAAAAAAACGTCTAAAATCCACTGCTTATTTGGAAGCCTTGTAACCAGGTTTTCAGGCCCAAAGTCGGATGCTCCTAGTGCTTATTACTTTGAAAGCCTCAGCTTGCCACCTTAAAACCTGCTTCTCTACTATATCTTGAGGAGGCACTGTTAACTTTCAAAAGCAATCAGTAAGCATGCATCATGTTTTTATTAAAGGGAATAGACAGGGTTGGTAGATGTTCCACCAATTTTTGCCCTTCCAAATCCCCCACCCCCCAAGAAAAGGAAGATGAAGCAGCTGCAGCCCAGAGCAAATATCCAGTTGGTAAGAGGACTTTGATTCTTAGCGACCTATACCTCTCCCATGAGGGATAAAGATTATGAGTATCTAAGGAGTGGGGACATTTCACCTCATATCACTGGCATGGATTTTGGACTTCCTTTAACCTTTCCCACATATCTTCCTGCTCCATGACTCTTCCAATTCAGCCCTGTTCGATCTGCAGAACTGAAGCACAATGACACAGCTGCAGATCCCCCGGGTGGAGGCTTGCTTCAGAAAACAGCTGTTAATCATGTTTGCTGTGTTTTCCCATTCACTTCCTTTTACTTCCCTTCCCTTAGCCTGTCCTTGAACCAGTGTTACCACCTTCTGGGCTCTACCCTGTGAAGGTTAGTGATTTCCAGTGATGTAGCACTCAGCTGAGCATGGGAGGGCAGAGGCTCAACAGCTGCCTAGGGAGTCCCCCAGATTTAACGCCGACTTTCTCTTACCCTATACTGCACGAGATAAAAAACAAGTACCCTAATATCTCCCCAAAGAGAACTGCATTGTTATATATAATTTTCTTTTATCTTATAACATAATAGAACCAATTCAAATATGAAATAACATTGACCAGAGATGAAAAGGAAGCTATACACTTGTGTGCACTATTTGGAAACTAGTTTTGTGCTTAGCTATAAAATCTTAGCTTCAGTGATGTTCTTAGCTATAAAATCTAACTTTTGACATTCATCTATACCTAATACATTAGGAACTACTTTTATTCAAGCAATACTGTGGTACTTTCATTATGAGGCTGAGAAACTCAAGACACCACAAAGATGTGAGTTTTAAATGAAAAAAAGCAAGGCAGTAAGGCAAGCCCCTGGCAGCTTGATGAATGAGCAGGTGCAATGCACCATTTGAAATGTAACTTGAGGTGAGGTTCCACCAATCTGCTATAGAATGAGCTACTTCTTGTCACCTAAATGCAACTGATTTTCCTCTCTTTCTGAGATCACAAACAAAAACGTAATAGCATACAGTAGGCTAGATTCTGATCTGGTCACATAATCATTTATCTCTCTAAACTTGCTGTTGAAGTGAGCAGTGTTACTGTTGATGTATTCATATTTGTACCTAAAATATATTAGTGCTATATTGACCAGTAAATTCCTTCAATTCTATAGAAAACTGAAGTCTTAGAAGATTAACTGACTAATTCAAAACTATATATGATAAAACTGTAGAAACAGTGTTAGGCACCTTAACTGCAATAGATATTTCACTTAATGCTCACATAACCCTTTCAAAGTAGGCTTCATTAAGTGTCTGTAACATATGAAGGGAATGAAACTCAGAGAAGTTAAGTAAAATATATGTGACCATTCAGCAAATAAGGGGCAGAGTCAGGGTTAGAAGCAAGTTCTTTCTCATAACAGAGTACATGCTTTTCTAATATGTCATATTGCTGTTTTTAAATGAGCCATTCTCTTCAATTAACTGGACCTACCTATTTTCCCCTATATCTAAACAAGGAGTTTTATTATTCCTTGAATTTTATTTTAGTGAATCTTTGCAATCTCTTAGATATCTTTTCATATCTAAAGCATTCTTTTTATTTCTCCTAGACCAAACTTTTACAGTGACTTTCCAAGTATCTCATAGCCAGTAAATAATTTTTTCAGAAAATATACCACATTCCTATCTGCCACCCCACCTGTATCATCACCTCTGGAGGTGAGAGCATTTGGGAGAAATTGAGGGGCTTTTCACTGTCTTTGGAATCTGCACACATGTAACCAGGATGTCGGCGAAGGATCCATTACATCATTTTTAGCCAGAAGTTGTTCATCTCCACCTTTACATTTCTGTACACATGTCTTCTCTAATCTGAAAGATTATCTTCTTCACTTGGCCAAACCCTATCCATTTGTCTAGGGTGGTTCATTTTCCTTCTCTACCATAATTTTTTTTCTTATTATTCCAACTCTATTGCTGTTGCTTATTGCTGAAATTCCAAGTAAGTTCCAATAACAGCTGGTGTCTAATTTGGTCTTTATTCAGAGGTCGAGAACAGTAAGGTAACATTTCTTGAGCCTTTACCTTATATACTTCTACATACATTATCCCTCAACTATAAATTTCTATTTCTTCATTATATTTCTGCATTTTGTCCTTCCTGTTTTTTTGCTCTCCATAGTCACCCAGATGTTGTGATACATTTCTGGAGTTTCAGTAATGACATCAAATTTTATATTTCTTATCCATGCATTGCTCCTGATTGTCACACCTAAATTTCCAAAGATCTAATTTTATTTCCACCTAGAGATGCATCACAAACATTTTAAAGGAAACTATCTAAAGGTAAGCTTTCAAAGCCACAGGTATCATCCTCCCTGCCACACTTGCTTATCTATTTAGATTTCCAAGTTATAAACAGTACATCATGCATCTGGACACATTCCTCTTTGCTATGTCCTTCTGCGTCATTCTCTATGTTCAGGTAGTGAAA